AAAATATTGGCATTTCGTCAGAGAAAAGTTTCGCATTGGATTATAAACCTTAAATCTTCTGCACTTTTGTTCTCAAAAAAAAACCCACCCCATTATACCGTCTGGTGTTTCTAACATCGAGTGATTAATTCAGTCTGTAAATCCTTACACTCAATTAATCAAAACGTAATACGAAAAAAGAGAATTTAGGATTGATTCGCGGTTTATCAGGCTTGGAGTAGAAAAATCGAATTTTGGAGATAGTAGCGGTTACCGAAACCGTCACGTTGCGTTTTCCGATGTGGTTAAATGCGCTCAGACTTGAGCAATTAAACGACTGAGGTAAAATTCGCTTGGTTTTTGGCCTTCTATTGTTAACTTGAACTTGACATGTATGAAACTTTTTCTTGTAGGGCAATTTTGTCGTAAAGCTTATCAGTAGCAGGATATTTGCTTTGAACCAGTTGATCAGATCTCATTTAATGATCAATCGATTCGAAATGACCGAAAATCTTTAATTCAAATATACTGCACGTTGATTATATATTGATACATCTTTGCACTTAACTGCGTTTATTTTTCTACGGTATTTTAGAACGTGAATAATTCAAACATAAATCGGATGTGTACAGTTTCTGTTAAATACGTTCTTAACTTGGCTTATTTTTGGCATGCTCAAATTTCAGAGATGCCATTAATTGTACAATTGTAATACAAATGCATGATTTTGTAGTTTTCAATCCGTATATTAATGCTAAATTCGTTTTATCATTTTTTAAAATTTATTTATGCCCAAGTTAGTTCTAATGAGATTATTAATAATGAATTATTGCTACAATTTGTTCGCATTGAAACTTATGTCTCTTTCCTTGATAAATTTCAAGTAATAATACTTGAAATACTTGAAATACATTGAATAACACACACATAGTTGCACACTCTCATCCATCTGAGCTATCCTTAAGATCCTTTGTGTCGAAAATTGCTTCGTATGTAGGGCACATCGTTGTCTAATCCTATTTCGTTTCGTTCTATCTCACGTAATTGTTCAAAATTCAAAACAAATATTGTGACAAAGAAGCCCGAAAGTGTAAAATGTATTTTCTCCATGGGTCAAATCGCTTCACCAAATTCAACATTATTCAAGTTTGCTGAATACGACTATACAAGCATCTGAAAAACGTACGTATAATATATATATAACGGCATTTGTGAACAGATACTTCAAATTTGCTTGTTTTATCACTATTTGACTTGACTCTGCTCTCGGCACTCTAACTAGTGCGCATACATCAACATTTTATCGCAATAGCTTGACCACAGAGCTTAAACTACTTTTTGTTAAATGTAATAAACTTTTTCGGATTTGAATTCGAAAGGAAAATTGCCAGACAAAATTCTTTAACAAATAAAAAAGGGGGTAGAGAAGAAACAACTACGAGCTGGTAAAATAAAACATCCGCATGTGTATGGAAAGCGCGCGCTGTATGTAGTTGTATCATGCTCGTTTTTACGGGATGTTTTTATTGCGAGTCATGTAGCCCGGCTGCTAACTTTTTTCTTCGTGTATCATTCGCGCTTTTTTTTCTCCCTTCTTTTTATCGTCACGCCACGAGTAACCCGTTGTGCGTAGGTGTATACAGCCAAATCTATATGAAATCGAATAAAACAAAATGTTTTTTCTACTGCCATGAAAAACTTTTTGCTGGTGTTAAATATGTCCCAACATTTTGGTGTGTTTTTGGGACCATACGTCATCCATTTTAAGAGGCCTTTTGATAGCGGGAAATTAGCATTTTTTCTAATTTTATGTTTGTTACGAATATTAAAAAAAATATTGCCTAGCTTGGTGCAGGGAAGAACGTCGAAAAAGGGATATTTTATCAATATTCGATTTTTTGTGACTCATTAGAAAAATTTACGAGATGTTCACCGATATTCGAAGGAAGCTCTGAGAATTATTTGAGATTAATGTCTGAACTTTATTGGATTTTGCCTTTTGTGTTTCTCTCTATAGTAAGAAGTGGATTGACCGAGTGATTTTTTTATATAAAAGAAAATTTAAATTTTGGAAAAATGTCAACTTTTGGCTTAAAAAAAAAGTGATGAAAGTGATGTATGGCAACAAAATCATCAAGTTTTTCATGGTATCAGTAAACTATTATTTTTGGTCATTCTATTTCACAGAGAGTCATCCATATATATGTGTGCGCGTTGGATGCAATTTTATTTCGTTCTGTAGATGCTTTTGTTGCTCCTCTACTCCTTCATCTACTTCCGCTGAGAGCTTTCTAATGCGTGTAGACCAAACCCGCAACCCACACAGACACACAGTATACAACATACGCAAACAAACGTGTATACAAGCATGAAATAAAACAGTTTTTTGTTCATAACTTGTTTTTTTTCTAACGATGACTCTGTCTGCCGTTCGATCCTTGACAACTGAGCAAACAGCGAGCGTGTTGCAATTAAACGATGCCCTGGTCGGACAAAAAATGAAAACTATTTGTTATGTCGCGATCGAAAATTGTGCCGAAGCAACCAAACCAACATGTATAGTGTAACTTTGTCAGCTGTGGATCAGTTTTCTACGAGCAATTGGAGTTGGGATCGATACTGTTTTGATTTTTGTACTCTCAACTCGTACAAAATGTCAATTGAACATCAAAGGCGAACGGCATTTACATAACTCAATAGCATATTGACAAAATTGAGGGAGTCGTTTTACATGAATTTTTACATTAAAATTTCAAAATTCTTAATAATTTTTGTGTCTGATACGAGCGTGCTGCTGTTATATTGGATGAGGTTCTACTCGTCAAAGCTTCCGTTTATGCACGGAAAAATCAATTGCGGCTTGTATTTTGTTCTCGAACGTGCGCGGACGTGCGTATAATACATCGAGTTACTGAATTATTCATACTTGTCAATCTTGAACTTAATTTTAATCCCATGAGTTTCGCAGACGTTACTGCGTACATACATACCACGCCCTTTTGCATTTCATTTCCGAATATTATACAGCCATGAGATGTATCGGCTGCGTTTAAAATTTCGTATTATGTTCACGAGCGCGCGCGAGAGAGTCATCTCCGCAGCATCAAAATCCACGAAAAATCTCTGATCTCTGACTCATATGTCGCGCGTGTAATATGCTTGGTGCCGTGCGCGCTTCAGCAGCACAACTGCTGTTTTTGTCAATATCATGCAGCTCTTTGCTGAGTGAGAGAGCAGTTTCACGAGTTCACAGATTACGTTACGGCGATGTCACTTGAAAATCTGACCTCCTCAATAGTTTGATTGAATATGTGAGACTAAAATTTGTCTTTATATGAGTAATTTGGGAGGCTCATATTTATCCGACAGTTTAAGTGAAATTAGACGCAAATAATGTCTATAATTTTCAGAGGTATTTCAAAAAATAAATTTTATATACATTTACGAAAAATATGCTATCTGTGTCTCTCTTGTTTAAGGTTTTTTTAATAGTCGACGAATTGAAAAAGCAAAATAAAATCGAAAATCGAGTAAACAATGATCGAGAATATTTCTAAAGCATTTTTTATATTACTTTATTATGACATTGTTTATTGGTCGTATTTTACTTCCAGCGGTAAAAATAGAAAAGTTTAAAATAGATAATATGGTCCGTGCAATCTGAAAATGTCTTTGTGTCCAAAAGTTCCCGAGATGCTAGAAAATGTAAAAGTTATCACCGTAAGGCTTGAAAATATTTTTAATATGCCGCGAGAGAAAGAAACTTTATGATGAGATATCCTCATCTCTGTGAAAGCAATAAAGCACTTTAATAGCACTCATGAGAATGCGTATATATATATGAACGCGACAGGGGCAAAAATAGCAAAAGTTGCATAGACGCAGTATACGAGGCGTTAATTTCAGTCGTGCGGTATATACGGGATATCTAATTTCTCTAACCCTCTCGGTAAAGTCCTGCGTATACATATTTAAGCCACAGCTGCTGAAGACAGCAGTGTCCGCGTGGGATACTCCCCTTTCGATTTTCGGAGCTTCCTCCGGGCACCGATGCAGCCATAAAAAAGTCGCCCCTGTATCGTATCATACACACACTTGGCTTTTACGTTTATAATTAATGAAAATTTGTCGCGCCGCAGCGCAATAATCTGCCGTACCTTTGATAATTGCGAATTTCGTGATTTTCCACATCTGTGCATATCGAATAATTCGGTAATAACAATATTGTCCAGCCAGTCGAACGTCAAAACGAAATCCGAACTATGTGTACCTGATGGCAAGTATCAATCGTTATGCTTCAACTTGCAGGCTTATATGCACGCGTCGAAACAGATTTAAACTTAAAATATAATGCATATATCGCTAAGGTGAGACAGAAGAACGTAATTGGCAGCGTGCTGTAGAAGAGAGTACTCTCACTCGTACATGTAATACATAACAACCCTTACTCAGCGCCGTTACGCAAAAGGGTCATGAGGATCGATTATGTGAAGCCCCATACAACGAGCTAACAGTACCATTCGAGAGATCGTAAAGCTTCATGCGGCCATAGAATTATTTTCGCGCGTACATTTGCTTTCGATGATGCGTTCGAGTGCGTTGAAATTACAAATAATTCACATACCGCATTTATACAATTATTTGGCCGCGTGCGTGTGCATCGTGTAATAATTGTGTATATTTCGAGTATTTTACTCGAACCAGTGCATGTTATCCACTTGTGCACAACAGCGGCACACATAAGCAATTCAAAATTTTAAATGAGAATTTCGAGCGCCTCATAATTCCAAACACATTTTGCGCGTTATGGGCATTAGATTAAATTCTGTTGAATGCTGATATTTTATCAAAAAGATATGCAAGCAAATTTCGTGCGGACGAATTATAAACGTAATTGCGAAAAAATTTTAATATTTCACGGTGACGACTTATCATAATTTTATTAAAATTCGACAACCTAAAAATTCGAATTTATCAGTCAATTTTAAAAAAACTGTAAGGTTAAATATTCTCTGTTGCAGCAATCATGGCTCACTTCTTTTTCTTGGCAACGTTTTTCTGGCTGAACACGATGTGCTTCAACATTTGGTGGACATTTAGGTAAGTCACTAATTTATCAACGTCGCTTAAAATTGTCGTTTGGACTTCTTTGCTTCACATTAGCATTGCTATATCGAGCTCTACTGCATTTCCTGATTTGGTATTACAGTAAAACGAGAACAAAACGCAATGACCTTGTGGACTTGATAATAATAAAAGCCGCAGTGCTCTTGATCGGGATCAGACGGTCGGTACGGTGAAAGTTGAACAAAACTCCTCTACAGTATATTGGTAAAAATACAACCGGTTGAATATCTATACCCGTGGTTTAGCGATTCGTTTATTTATTAATATCCCGATGAATTCCTCCATTTTATAGTGCTTTTATTAGCAAAGTTTATGGCATCGGTACACAATCGTGAAATCGAAAATTTTTTCATATTGACCACAGAGCTGTGCGATATTTATCATAATTTCATAACAATGCGCCTTATAAAATTCCTCGAGTGGATGAATTATTTTGATGAGTTATTTACGAAATCTACTACCGGCCTCCGATTTCTATGATTAGATCATGACGCGTGAGAGATGGGCCACTACGTGGGAGCGTAATTTCAGCCACGATTGACGCTTAATTTTTATTCGCATAATTTTGGTGAACCTTGAGACACTTTTGCAATAAAAATTTTAATTCGACCTAAAATTATACGTTCAAGTTTATTCTAACCGCGAATTTTCTCAGTACTCTATAACGTAAGCACGGAGTGATTTAGCTCTTACGAAGCAAGCAAAAAGAAAGAACGAAAGAAATGAGTATGTATAATACACGAGGCAGATGAGTCGTCGACGAGAAACTGTAACGGTCGTCTCGCTCAGCTTATCTGTTATACTGCAGTTGCGAGAAATAGTTCGATGGAATTTTTTCTTATCGATGTCATACGTGTATAATTACCGCTAATGACCAGTTATCCTTTCTCTCTCCCTCTCCTCTTCCTCTCTCGCTTTCTCACTTGCACGTCGACTGTACAAGGCAGTCTCGTGTATACTTACGCTATCTTATTCTAAAGTTCATGGTCAACGTCATCTTACACGTTCGCTCGCCGTTATCGTCTCTCTCTCTCTCTCTCTTTCCCTCTTGCAGATGCTGCACGGATAGGCGGATAAAAGATTGCGCTCGTTCCGATAAACGGCGCGATGTACAAGCCACTCCGTATAAAAGTATACGGCCACCGCTTACTCCTTTTTTTTCTTCTCAATCTTGTATAACTTGCGAGAATAGCTTTTATGTAGCGCGTCGCGTCGCCTTCAATTAAAAAGCATTAGTCCCATTACAAATTTCAATTATTCGCGCACGCGGAATAACAACCAAGTTTTTCTCAATCGATATGTACCCGCGGGAAAAGCTCGCATCGACGTGCGAGAAATACACGCAGGCAGTGTTGGCCGCGTATGAACTACGCACACACAAGCGCGAGCTTTTTGTGCTCGCGCGATCATCGTTGGCCACAGAAAGAGAGAGAGAGAGAGAAGGAGAGATGAGCGACATATACACAAACACGTCGATGGTATAATTGCTTATACATAGAGGCCAGGCTGATGCGCGCTCGTATATATGCGCAGTGCCCATCTCGCATCTGGCGCGCGCGCTAGATTATTATACATTTTTTGCACCTCGCTACAACACGAACGCGCTTGGCTTTTTCATATGGTGTATATGGCTCAGCAAAGCGTACATTGCCACGGCGAAAGAAAACGTTTAACGACCAGCATACATACGCACCGAGTCTCTAGTTGTCTGTATGAGTGTATAGTATTAATACCAGCTTCGTATACATGCTGAGCATATCCGCGCGTATATGCAGCATAACGCACTATGCGCGATGATAGACGAGTGATCTCTCCGCTCGCATAAAGCCAGCAACAGTAGTTTTTCGTCGTGAAAAAAATCACGATGCTTGTGTACGCTGGCAAATACCAACCGGTTTGAGAACGAGAGAGAGAGAGAGAGAGAGACTAGAAGAGTACATTGCACTGTTACATAAGACTCGCAATTGTACCGACGCGCGAGGTTCGAGCCTATACGCTTATCTTCGTAATCTGCACCTCGATATCATGAGCATCTATAAAACCAGAGTTCCTGTATAATCGATCAATGTTATGCTCGCGCGCCCCATCATATCCTATAGACGCGCGTTCGCTGCAGCAGCATGAAAATTCTTATCTCGAGTACACGCGTACATTATGCGTGTACAGAGCCTAGCCGTGCATAGCTATTTGAGACGCGCTTCTGGCGATGCGCCTTTTACATGCTGCGACGAGGGATCGTTTGTAAGTGTTGCGACCAACTCGCGTCTCGAGCGAGCTGCGAGTAATCGCTCTATCGATGCGCCTCGATCGATCTGTGACAATGCGCGACTCGCTCTCATCCGTGGCTTTGGACATTTTCAGGAATTTCCATCGTTATGTGCGTGTATACGAGTGTAAAGAAAATTTGAAGAATAAGTTCATCGTCTAGTTAGAGTTGCGTACTGCACCCGCTGCGGTATCGTAAAAGCTGTACGCGACTGGATGTGCGTCTTGATTTTTAACGATCCTTCGCAAGCTAGCTTCAGTCTCGATTTAATTCCAAAAAATTTACTATTCAATTTGCTTTCCAATTTAAAAGTGTTTCTCTATACGAAGAGCAGTAGATTTATGAATTCCACCAGAGCAGCTTCTTGAATGATTGACTTGACAATTTCATGCGATAAATTGAATTTCAAACTGGGTTACGTTAGCGCTGATTTTCTCCAGTAGTTTGCATTAATGAGTTTGACCCTTTATGCATGGCCTCTAGTCAAACAGCCTGACCATGATGAAATTTGATGTAAAGATATACTTGGACCATAAAACACTTTGTGATTTCCATGGAATAAAATGAAAAGATCGGTTTTTGTGAAGGCGAAATACTTTTATAGTAACTTTTATGAGCTTGCTTCTTCGATTATTTCGTCACTTTCAAAGCATAATCGTAAATTGAAGTTTCGTCAATTATTCGTTTAAAAAATATTGAAGCTAACATTTTGTATGGGATTTGCAAAACAAATTTTCGAAATCTACCATCATATTCTTACGTAACAGCTATGAAGGTAAAATGTTGTATGGATTTTAGTTTATAAATTGTTTGATGATTTATTTCGAATGTTAGTGTTGACGCATTGCTATCATTAAAAAATCAAAATAATTTGATCATGTACTCCACAAAAACAAAATAAATAATATTTAGTAACTGCTTTGTTTTGCTATGATTCCTACGATTGCTCATCATATGTACCTTTGTAAAACTTTCTTTGTGAATATTTTGAAAACAAATACATTTCTACGAATACAGTCCATATAAATACATATTTTGACGATTCGCTTTATATCAAAGCTTCCAAATGAGACAATCGTCTACGATTAACCAAGCATTTGTAATCAAAAATGTGTGTAGGGCCATCCAAATAAACCGGTCCTCGTGTTTATACATCGTACAAATACCATCTTCGTAAACTCGTGTACAAGACATCTTAGCACGCATCAAAGGTTGCAACAGCAGCAGTTCTCGGTGTACAGACACAACAAACATTGCGGGATTATTAAAGCATCTCGGCTCTCTATCTTAGCCGCTGACGGTCGTCTTAGTTTTAGCTTTGATTGAACCATATATTCTATAGAATCGCTCAATAGGTGCGCGCCTAGCTATATATAACGTCTGGCAACGAGCTTGGAGAATTTAGCCTGGAGGGTTGTATAGCGCCGGGCGGTACGGCCACCATTCATATCTACGCACCGCTGCTAGGAATCGAAGGCCGGGATTTATATTCTTCGCGGCTGCATAGAAAGTTTCTCTCCTCCTCTCTCTCTCTCTCTCATTCTTTCTCTACTTATAAAAGCCATCTTTGCATCTGAATGAGAATGTCAGAGAAAGAGTTGCTTTTTATTTCCAGCGATTTTTTTTCTTTTCACATGAAAAGGGGTCAGTTTCTTTACTCGCACAACTTCTGTACGTATGGCTTCTGTACGTCGCAGTTATAGCAAAAGGCTTTGCCAACTTGGTACCATTTGAGTTGTGAACAATTAGGATGGCAACTATATTTCAAATATTATACTTTCACCGACTCCCTGCCAGTATGAACATTTTGATTATTTCTAACTTGCCTACAGACTAATTCGATAACACTAGGCTATGCATGTGTAATTTACCTTGACTATATTCTCTTTAGAGACTTTATTCAGTTTGGAAATTTGATTTCCTACTTGAATTTTCGCCATTACAAACGAAGTCTAAGAGAGTACGACGCTGTAACGCCACTGATACGATATACTCTTGTCTCTCTTTATGTATCAGAAATCCTTTGTCGCTATTGTTGCCTAGGAAGGTGCGAGGAGGTGCCTTTGAAAACGCTGCGCATGAGAAACGACGACGACGACGTCGCTTTGCCGTTACGTCGTGCCACCGCCGCCGACGACGATGGCAAATTAACGGGGTGCGTTACGCGCATCTATGGCTGTGCGCAGCATCGCGAGCCGAGGGATGTCGTTTAATTACCGCCTCTGAAAGGGATCTCTGTCGGGCCGCTGCTGAGCGAGCGTCAATTGCCACCAGCTGAAAATCGACATTTCCTCTTGGGGGCCTTTGAACAATATACTCTTTTTTTTCAAACACGTGCCACTTCTCTCTCTCTCTCCCTTTTTTACTCTCACTCCCTCTTCTTTTCTCTATTTTTTCATCTAAAATTAAAGGCAGTTTGCATACCAACATACTGCGTGACACTACTGCTGTTCTGTCAATGAACTCACAAACCTTGACTTTCTTCTCATCATCGTTGTTTTTTTCCGCTATTCAGTCCGCATCGCTGCGCTGTGTGCGCGCAATTCTCATCTAAGCGTGACGTTTTTTGTCATTGCACGAGTACACCTATACCTTCTTTCCTCGCGATCTTGACAAGAGTAGAACATTGCGTCTCCACAAAAGTTCAGACGCTTGTTCGTATTCGTATTGCATATTATGTGTCGAGCGCACACGTACGGAAAAAGTACGCGTGAAATAGCTGCATACATACCTGCGTACGGCAACTGAGCTAGCATATGTAGAGTTCCGCTGTAAATCAACAATCGATACTCGACTGTATTTTTACTCTGCACAGAGCGAGAATGCGTTCGTTTGTTTCTTTCTGCTCTCGATCATCGTTGGCATGTGTCCCGTTAAAAGTTAACTCGATTAGGCCAGAACAGCTTTGCCCTGCTTGTAGTAGTACTCGCTGATCGACTTTTGTATTATGCTCTCATACAATTTTTTTACACATTGTTTTTTTAATTTTTTGCTCGCAACTTACGTGCTGGAAAAAAATGTTCTACATCCAGCTTGCAGACTTCCAATATTTACATTTGAAGCTATGTTTTTTCCTTCAATAAATAATCTTCAATGCCTTAACTTTTGCCATTTCCATTCATTTGAAGGCAAATCCTTAATCTACACGAAATTTCGAAAAAAATCTTCTTGAACGAGTATAAAATATCCGACTAGACGAGGTGGTGACACATATTTCTTTGAAAGTTTTATCAAAATTGCTCGAAAACTTCATTCATAAACTAGCGACGATTGAATTCCGTAAAAGAGAGAAAGGATCTTTGCATGAATTGCATGAACTTTAACTTCGTTTTGGCGTGCGCGCATAGTGCGGATTTTATGAGCAAAGTTACGAGGAAACGATAGTGAGAATTCCTCCAACTAAATTCGAAATATTGTTTCACGCACGTTATCACCCATTGCGAAGAGTGACCTTTTGTTTTTGAAGCATTTTCTCTGTTCGGTTCATGCAAACAGTCCGTAAATTAGTTAGCTATTGTCCTGTTTTATTTTTAATTTTTTATTACTTCAAAGAAGCGACTATTCAAAATGGTAAAACATTTGTTCTTCTAATTATGTTGTCAAAAAATCTCTACAAGAAAAATATAATTAAAAAAATGTCTCTTACTACACTTCGTTGATTGCACATTACGTGTGTGCACAGTCGTCATTTAATCAGAATTTGCCATAGCGCACCGATAATATTGACTCACTCATTCATCAGGTAGTCAATCAATGACGTGAACGCAGATCATTCTCATGATTATATACGTATATGTAACCCGTATAAGTTAATATATACATACGGCACTAACGAGCTCTCCCAATGCAGCCCATTGGTAAACATCTTGTACCCTGTGCGTGACAAAGCAGCCGAGTTCCTGTATATTTGGAATACAAATTCATTAGATTGAATTTTAATTGAAAAAAAATTATGCGAGATCGGATTAAATGCGTTGAAGAAAATGCATTTCTTTGAATAAAAAACACCTCTGTAATTATGAGGTAGTTCGTAAAAAGGTAAATGTGTCACGTTGTGGGAGAAAGAGAGAGAGAGAGAGAGAGAGAGAGAGAGAGAAATTGAGCTTATACAGCATCTTATACGCTGCTCCGAATGCCAAAGTGATCGACCTGGAATTTTCCATTTGCCGAAGCTAATTGTGCGTATGTGTCGAGGTTAGCGATACATACTCGCAGGGATACTTTTTACAAAGCCTTTTAGTGTTTGTGGCACGTGACGTTTTTTCCGAGATACTTCAGCGAGACGTTAAACGAGAACTATTCGCTATTCTTAGTCCTACGTAGAAGAGAGCGCTCGAGTCAAGTTAGAATCACCTCAGCAATTTCATTTTTATAGTGTCCTGGAAAATTTTTTCTGCATTAGCTTGACTCATTTTTATATGAATTTTCATTTGCAAAAAAAATTTATTAATCTTTTACTGACATTTTTTCTAACTTTAATTAGCCTTTAATGTTGTGCGACAAATGAATGATAAAACGTTTTTTTCTAAAATAATAGAAAACTCCACGTTTTTTTGTATTTATTTTTTTAGATCCTAATTCTACTGCTTGATAAATGTGATATTGAAAAGTTTCTCACAGGAATTTTCTTTTCCAGAGATCTACGACCAGCGAGTCTTGAAAAAGGACAAGAAATGCTACGTCTGAAATTCTACGGTGCTTATGCTTGGGGAGGGCCACTTGTTGTCGCTGGACTAGCGGCTGTACTTGATCATTTGCCTATTTCACCAGAATACAATTTTCTACGCCCAGGTTTTGGAGAGAAGCAGTGCTGGTTTTACGGTAAATTTGTTATTGTAAATAAAAATTTTATTCTGAGAAATAAACTAATATTTCGAAACAAACTTTACTTATATTTAAAATAATGGTTTATTATAATCTCAATGTTGTAGGTATTATCATGCAATTATAAAGCGATAGTATACTCTAATGCAAAGCGTAAATGAAAGTTAATGCTGAATGGATACCATTCAGGCGTCTCTTAATTTTTGAGTTCGATTTTTTTTGCAGAGGACATTATACATTGTTAGTGTATTATGAAAAACTATACTCTCAGTAGTTGAAAATCTGAAAAAAAAATTCTCATTCGTGTCACCAGAGCAAAATCGTAATTTTGAGAAAAAACCCCATTATATAACCAAGTGTTTAATTTCAGCATTTTTTATTCATCAGTAAATGGTAAAAAGTTGCTTTATAGTATAGTAGTTTAAATGTCAAGTATGCTATAGAAGCCTATCAGCATTCAGAAATTTTATTTTAATATACGAACATACAAAAAAAAGGGAAAAACATTGGATTTTTATCGTTTTTTATCGGTTGGTTCTTTTCTACGCATAGTAAATCTCAATCAAATTCAAGGCCAAATTCAATATCACCAATTTCTTCGTCCAAAAATACACTTAGAGGATTTTTGATTTTTCTTTTTAGCTTACTCTGTGATATTTTCAGGGACTCCAATACTTTTGGTGCACCCTGTATTTTGACCATGTTTATTGTGAACATCATCCATAAAACCAACTAATGAGCCTGTTAACTGCGTAATTTTATTTTGCCTCTTTTGTCTTTTGTTTGTTTTTTTTTAATGGTTTGCGGATGGAGGGCGTACGAAAAAAGTCTGAGAGATTTAGCATTTCTTAATTTGTTTATGAAATGAGTCGCTTTTCTTTCGGGGTTTCATAGAACTATCTTCTTGCTTCTCAAGTACAGAGATAGTTAGTGGAGATCTTCTTTTTGCTCTCTTTTCTGACCTACTTTAATATAGACGTGTTAAAATCATAAATTTTTTTACTTTTTCAGGCAATGCGGAGATTCTGGCTTACTTTTTTGGACCTATTGGTTTACTTTTGCTCATCAATCTTCTATTTTTTGCCGCAACGGCTCGCGAATTAACCTGTGGCCTTTGGAAAGGAGAAATCGTTAAGAGTACTACCGAGCGGTAAGTTCAGAAACCTTTTAAACCTTTTAAATAGATAGTCGCTAATTCTTTGAGATTTGTTTTAAGTTTTTTAATCAATGCGAAATTGATAGATTCACAAAAATACGCTATTAAAAATAAAATACTTTAATATCCTGGGAATTTCATTCATCTTTGATTATTTTTATTTCACGATCATACTTTTGAATGTCATTCACTCGTTTACATATACAAGATGCACCAGCCTTCCATATTTTTATATTACGAGCAGAGAAAATTTTCATTTGTCAAGCAATTTTCTCGCATTTGATTAATTATTCTTTGAGCATGGTGGATTCTTTCTTTCTCACGTAAGTTGGCTGGCGCTCTTCAGAATATTTATCGTTGTTCTATTTTCAAAATGTAAAAACTGAGTGAACTTTTACGCTCAACTTGTATTAACAAATAAAATTTGTAATCGTGGAGTTTAATTTCAAGTCATTTTTATCCTCGGTCATTGACGCGAATTAATCTTTTCACGACACGCGCTTGAATTTACGATGGGACGCATATATACGCACTCTGCGACACTGGCTTCTTGACACTGGCTTTATTTTCGATTACAGAGTCAATGAAAGATTTTGACTGCGTGAACAATAAAATTTTTTTAAAACTTTTCGAATAATATGATACCGGAATTGCAAGTAATAAAATGAAATGATACAAATTAAAAAAAGTACTCTTCAAATTTATGAAGATAATTTGTTTAGGATGTTAAAGTTTGTTTATCAAATAGACTATCGATCTTCTTATACTGTAAGACAAGTCTATTATAGACTTTACAAAACTTTTGACAGTTTCCAATTTTACATCATGAATTATGCCTCATGCATTCATTAAACTGCCAAACTAATCGAAGTTCGGGTAATCATTACGTTGCAGAGCGGCCCTAGGCAAAGTATGCCTAAAGCTTGTCATCGTCATGGGAGTGCCGTGGATATTTGACGTAATTTCGTGGATGGCAGGTGGTCCAGAGGCCCTTTGGTACGTAACCGACTTGTGCAACGCTGCTCAGGGCGTCCTCATCTTCGTCGTCGTTGGCTGCCAGCCACAAGTTCGAGCGACAGCCAAGCGCTGGTTTCGCAATCCCAGGACCAATACCAATTTACAGGGTAATGGTCATAGCACGACGAGTCATGGGATGCCCAGCATAGGAGATAGTATTACTCAGAATCCAAGCACCAAAGCCGTACCATTGGAAACGATTTGCTGAGGACACGAGCACCGAGAATTGTTGATCGCACCTGAACTCCGCTTTTAAATTTTCGAAAAGAAAATAGACGGATTCATTGCGATAATCGATCTCGGTTTTCATGAGAGAATGCCTTTTTCATTTTTGTAAACTCATTGAAAGAATAATTAAGTTATTTTTTTATAAATTGAATCGGGTAAATGAAATGCATTTATTCAGTTAGGATTAATGGCAGGGAAAATTACTATGTTCTTATACTTGCTACTGTTTTATCATTTAATTGTGAAATTCTTGTAAGTAAAACATTTATAGTCAAGTAAAGTTCATATATTGTGAATATGTACCCCTGAAAAAATTATGGCTTTAATCGAAATTTTTTGAACGAGAGCAATCTTGGATTTCTCGACCCAAAATGCAAGGGATCATATTGCATTATATTGCCTGCAAGATGTTAAATCTTTTTAAAACATTAATGATTATAATCGATTGTATATATATGGAGACTCAAATTTGACCGAAAATTAGCTTTGTAATTTTAATTGTTTGATAATAGTATTTACATTAGTATTATAACTGTACATAAATTTTGTATAATATGACGTTAGTATTTTCTTTTTATTTGTAAAACTTGAAAGATTTATCGAATCTTATGCATTCTTAAATGCGCATCTTAAATGATACTCAAACTATGAGACAAAACAACTACAAGAGAAAAATGTTCTTGAAAATGTCAATTTTCGAAATAATAATTTAAGTAAATAAGAAAAGATTTTGCACACGCGAATAAAAAATGCAAAAAGACTTCGTTAAGCATTATTCAGTAACGTTGGTTTGGATCGATATTTTGAAACGCTTATAATTATATTAAATTGTAAGTGCACAATATTATATGTGATATTTGGTAATATTTAAAAGTAAGCACTAGGTTTAATCAGATAGCGTACTTTAAAATCGTTCACTATATATGATGCTTGAAAAATATCTGTTTCCACTACAATAAAAAAATTTTTTATCAGTAGAAAATCATGTGAATAGTATTAGAGAATAACAAACATTTTTTTCTAAACATACTACAAATTTGTAATTTAAACATGTTAGCTAACATTAATTCCTTTGTTAACAAAAATATTGATAAAACGAAATTGAAAAACTCTGAAATTGTTAATATTCATTATGAAATCAACAAAATACTAATCGTTAACTATTTGTATATTGCTTATTGCAACGATAGTATTATGCATGACATTACAATAAAAACTAATTACAATAGTACATTACTTTGATCTGTAATTTTTTAAAAATACCCTTTTTAAGAAAATATAACTCTAATATTTGAAATCATATAGTTATTTGACAGGAACTTATGCAGATGATCATAAATACTTTTTTACATTATTTAGTGATTAATTTTTATATGAAATTTATTCAGTTACTTTTATATTTCTCGAGAAACATTTCAGGATATACTTATAAGTAAGTGTGGAATAGTATATTTCTTAACGGGTGCACTACGGGTTTTTAGCAAAAATGGGGATTATAGAACGAGCCGAAGGCGAGTACTGCATGAAGTTTTGTTAAAAAACTATACCTGCACCAGTTGATGATACTATTTTTTCCTACGAGAGCCTAAAATTAGCGGCAAAGTTAAGCCAAACGAAATTTAAGCCAAAATTTTGCAAAAGTTACTCCAAAAAATTAACGTAAATTTACTACACTAAACAGCTGTATCTTGGCAAATTTAGGTCGTTTTAAAATCTGAATACGGCGTTGGAAAGGTGAGACAAAAACCTATGAAACAATGCATTGACATTTTTTCAACAGTTTATCGGGCTGAGCCGTTTTTTTAAAGAAACAAATGCACTTTTCTCGATTTACATAAAAACCACGTTTTTTGGTACTAAATTGCTCGTAACATCTGAAATAATGCACCAATCTCAATTTTCACGCCGGATTCTGAAGAGTGATTAAATTTTGCATCGAAATACGTGTCGCTAATAGTTGTCAATTTTTTTGGGGTTGGCTCAGACATTCAAAGAAAAAAAAAATTAACTGTCAAATCTTGTTAAAATCTGAAATCAAAATGCTCGTAGAGCGACCAGTAAAAATTATTTAAATGGGTTACAATTTTTTTGGGCTTCATTTTTATGGCTTATGGAAGACATTAAAAACCTTCGATTTTTTTGAATCAGTCTAATACACAATGAGTAATAATCAGTCTAAGTATACACAATGAGCAGCTATAAGAATCATTCGCTTTCCTATGATAGATGCCCCGCAAATAACTTCATCCTTCCCAGATTTCTGATGGATTATGTATGCCATGAATGGAAATTCACCTATTTTTGCATCTACACCATTAACCATACGCGCTGTTTCATGAGCTAAAAAAGTAAACAATTTTTTCAATTTACTTCATGTAATTTGAAACTTTTGTTTTTAATGCATGAAAAAGCTTTCAGTACGTTTTGCATACGTGCATCGTACAGCTATGGCACAAATAAGAAGAGAAAACTTGAATTTGTTGACAATTGACCAGCTATTTTATGTGTAGATTCCCATAACACTTTGCAAATTTTTCTTTTCCATTTTCATATAAATAGGTAATTCTCTGTAAATAAAAATTCTGTTATCTAATCAAATCGTTATAAGTTGCACAGATTATATTTAAAATCAGCGATTTAATTTACATTGAAAAAGCCTTGTAAACACGGTATCTCAATAACCGTTCAACCAATTGCGTCTAAATTTTTATGATGCCTTGGTAGTGACCCGAAGATGTGCTGAATAAATTTTGGAATCGATACGATCATTTTTAACTCCTCTGCCAACCCTTAAATTATTTTAGCGGATGCTCGCGATATATTCATCAGAATTTTTGTATTAATACATTCAACCCACACCTAAATGATGATTGATGTATCTGGACTATCAAATCAATCAGAAACCAGTTTCATCATCCGTTAACATCTTCAGAAATGTCTTCAGAATTGTGTTTAAATCTATATGATGCTCTAGATCTAGATCGAGTTGGAAGCACTTATACAAAAAAATGCAAAGAACCAAAAAGATTTAAAATGCGTTGATAGTTTTATCATCCGTTATTGTCTTCAAAAATGTCTTCAGAAATTTGTTACCTGATACTGTAGATCATTTGTATTTGGATTTCGATGCGTTTGGACGCTATTACAAAAGCATCCTGTATAATTTTGGAAATTCATTCACATAAATATTATTCAATTTTTAAAAAATAAAGTATTTCAAACTCTTATTAATTTCTTCGTAATTGTGTAAAACCTTCCTTCTTTTGTGAAAAATCCTGGGTTATTTGGGGAATAAGAAACGCTTTTGGTTACTTGAAAAATAATAATCATCCCTGTATCAAGTGTATTTAATATTTAATACGTGCTAAATATTGAACTCAATCGTAAACACTTATGTTTTAATTGTATGAAATCTTACGCGATAAACAATTAAAAATGATAATACTGAAAAATTCAAGAAAAATTATTTGTATAGTTATTACTTATAGATTGAAATATACTAATTTATTTAAATTAATTAATAATATTATGTTTCATTAAACAATTATTTGGAATTATTATATTCTAAAAAATTTGATTATAAAAATGTTCGGTAAGATGAGAAAATGTTGTTTTTCTATATGCTTCAAATAATATACGTAAGTTGATTAAATTAATTTATCATTTGTTATATAAGTATAGTATTTAATCACAGTTATTAAAATAAATTGTTCGCTCAGCTTTAACAACAGTTGTTGCCACTTGTTTACACATTTATTTTAATTTTTAGTTTATTTTTTGTTAAATAAGCTTTTAAATTAATGAATCAAAAACTTAAAATCAAATGTTTTCATTAAAAAGCTATTTAATTGATATTAGAATTTCGACTTATACGCAAATGCTAATGTTTGTGTTTGTGTCAACTTGCACATAGATGAAGATAATAACTGTGACAGATTCATTGGCTACGAGCTTCCTCATCATAAAATTATTACCTATTAACCTATTTATAGTTAAAAATGCTGATTTAATAATTTTTTTATTAATTTACAAGGTTATTTTCCACTCTTCACATAAATTAAGTTCATTTTAACGATATGGTTTTATTCAATTTATAATTCGCAATTCAGTATTTAAAATCATTATTATGAAAATTATGAAAAACCGAAAAAATATTAATTTTTATTTTTATTTTCAAACTCATCAACAAGTCCTAACAGTTCTTTGACTTAATTTAATTTTAACTGATCTTTAAAAATCACTACAAATATGTTACAAAAACCATTTAAACTCTGTACAACTCTAAAATTGAAATTTCGGAAAATAAACAAAGAACCGCTTTTATTTTCCCGATGTCTCAAATTGAAGTTCAACTTTCTGTTGATTTTCTGTTGATTTCGATAGTAGAATTTTTTGAGTGGAATTTAATTGTTTTGTTTGATTTATCCAATTAGCGTAGTAGATAACACAAATATAGATATCTGAAAATGAGTGAAAATGATCACATTCAAAAGCCTGATAGTCGACACCGATTCGATATTCGTCATCTGTCATTCAACCACCTGAAGTGTCGTTTAAAATATATTTAAAACATTTATAAATGTTGTAAACTGTTGTCTTCGTTATTTTGATACCTGAGATCTATTGTTTCTCCTCGTATATTTATGATTACAAAAAAAAGTATTCGAAAAAATCTTATCAAATCTGATTAAAAAGATGAGAGGTTAATAGAAATACAATGAAATTAAAAAAAAACTTGAAATAATAAAAAAAAAGAAATATAACATCATTCTTGCGAAAAATTGTACACCAATTCACCTTTTTTATTATATTTTTTTAATTTTTTTATTATAATTGAATTACAATTGTCTTAGCTATACTCGATTTAAAAAATTTTAACATTAACTATATTTATTGAGGATACGATTGATCCAATGAGCATAATACATAACACTTGTGTATACATCTGGGAGTACATAAGAATATCCACATTTGTAAGATATTATTGCGACGCCTACTTGATAACCATCATCCGTTACAAGTGGACCACCTGAATCACCCTGTGAAAAAATTATTTGATAAAAGTTGTACAGTGGTTTATAAATCAAAGATGGAATACATTTTTGATATTCAAAAATTGTGAGATATCCTTACATTACAAATTCCTTCTAAATAATCTGAATTAATACTACTTGTGCAAATCATACCCTCATCAATTGTTGATGGTAATATTTTTTCCCATTGTCTCTTACATATGTCGTGGTGTACCATTGTAACTTTAAGTTTTTGTAACGTCTTTGCTAATTTTTCACGTTTGGACTGGAATAAAGACATATAAAACTGTTTGAACTAGTAGTGAAGAATAAAGTATACTTCAAATAAAAGAACTCACATAATAACCCCAACCACTAATTACTGCTTCAGTAACGTTTTTTACTTTATAATCGGCGGGTGCCAGTCGGATTGGCTGTACTTTATCATTAAAAATAACATCATCTTTCAATAATAGTATAGCTATATCACTTTCTAACTAGAAAAGAAATTACAGATAGTATAAAAATGACATATTAAGCATTAATTTATATGAAACATCAAAAGTTTAAGATGAAGTAAACGGCTGGTAAAAGTGGAAAATGAAGGTACCTTTTCATCTTTTTCAAAAACGTTATTGTTCTCGATAAAATTACCACTGCTAGATTTGTAATCTCCATGAACGAAAATTTTTTTTACTTTATGAGCAACAGCAGTTCCGTCTTGACGATTGTGCGTTCCAACAACAACTTGAAAAGATTTTCGACTTCCTCTGACAAACTCGAGTTATTATTGAATACTTTTCATCCAATTAAAAATGTTATTTTTAAATTACCCATCAACACAGTGAGCTGCAGTCAGTATTAATCGTTTTCCTATGATAGATGCGCCACATATAAATTCATTGTATTTGCGATGCTTTATGAATGCCATGTATGGAAATTCATCTTTCTCCGCATCGACTCCGTGAAGCATTCGACCCCTCGAACGAGCTATGATAAGTAGCACCAATTTTAAAATAAAAAGTTATTTTTTAAATTAATTATTTCTAAAACTGGAACTTACATTTTGCATCAATGCAGGTAAAAATTATAGCACCAAAAATAAACCAGAACTTTAACATTTCGATTCACTTACAAAAAATAATACGCAAACAATGATTAATTTTATACTCTTGGTTGTGAGTACCTAATTCGATAACTATAAGACTACAAATGCGGTGCATTTGAATCAAATACGAAGCAAGAATATATTTCATAAGACATTGATCACGTAGATCAAATTTATCTATTAATCTAATCACAAAAGATTGTACTTATCGAATATGAGAATGAAGAAAATTGTAGATAATGCAACTTAGATATTGTTTGAATAGTAAATAATTCCAAAATATATACATTTTTTAAAATACTTGTCTCGTACATAAAAATTTAACAACAAGATACATCTGTAATTGACATTTATCATAACAAAAGTAACTATCCCCTCGATAAAAAATTTTTCGGTAAAAAATTTTTCGTTTTCGTCATTACAATGGTTAATGCTACTACCAACTGCATATAATTGTTTCATCACACTGATATACAATCTTACTAATTTAAAGCACCATAGTCCTGAGCACGTTCGAGCAAGTACAAGACCATTTGTATTAACGATTCAACGCCCTAAATTGTAATTTTGCGAATAGATTTTTAATCATATGAAAAGAATTTATATGAAACCCCGACGGAAAAAAATCGTTCAAAAAAAAAGTAAAAGTAGTTACTGAAACCATTATATTAAATTGTAAAATGTAATAAAATGTAAAAAAATATAAAATTACTAGTGATTTCGGACAGCCGATGCATTAAAAAAGGCAGCATGAAATCACATTTTTTTACACTTTTTTACATTTTCTTCAATATGCTATCCGCGCGTGATCGCATCGACCACAGCAAGTGATTTTCGTTAAAAAAAGTATTGATTTTTATGAATAAATTATGACAAATTATGATGGATATGGCCGATTCTCTGTGAAATCGATTGGTCAAAAAAATTTTTTTTCTGCAAATATGAAAAACTTGTTGTATTTGATGTCAGAAATGTCCCCAAATTTTATTAGAATTTTTGGGGCCTTCCATGACACTTTTTCAGAGGCCCAAAGTTGGCCATTTTAGGGTTTTTTTGAAATTCATGAAAAATCACAAATATTAAAATAATTCCTGGATTAAAGTAGAATGATTCAAAAGTAAAAGTGCCCAGCAACTTTTTTGTTGGAAATTGTCCAAATTTTCAGAAAAAAAATATGCCAAAGTGATTGGAACAATCTAGGTAAATGTAAAGCAAAAAAACTGCAAAAAAAACATAAAACAAGAAATCTACTCGAGTTCGAACCGGACTTTCATTTCCTAAACTATGTAAAAAGCTTCCCAAAGATGTCAACTACTGCCTGATAAAGTTTTGTAATGGGTCTTAAAGTTTAACTCAATGTAGACAATAATGTATGGCGAAAAACGTGCAAAAAAGGACTGAAAATGGCTGTTTTTGGTGATTTTAGGCATTTTAGGCCCATTTTTGACCTTTTTTGCACGTTTTTCGCCACACATTGTTGTCTACATTGAGTTAAACTTTAAGACCCATTACAAAACTTTATCAGGCAGTAGTTGACATCTTTGGGAAGCTTTTTACATAGTTTAGGAAATGAAAGTCCGGTTCGAACTCGAGTAGATTTCTTGTTTTATGTTTTTTTTGCAGTTTTTTTGCTTTACATTTACCTAGATTGTTCCAATCACTTTGGCATATTTTTTTTCTGAAAATTTGGACAATTTCCAACAAAAAAGTTGCTGGGCACTTTTACTTTTGAATCATTCTACTTTAATCCAGGAATTATTTTAATATTTGTGATTTTTCATGAATTTCAAAAAAACCCTAAAATGGCCAACTTTGGGCCTCTGAAAAAGTGTCATAGAAGGCCCCAAAAATTCTAATAAAATTTGGGGACATTTCTGACATCAAATACAACAAGTTTTTCATATTTACAGAAAAAAAATTTTTTTGACCAATCGATTTCACAGAGAATTGGCCATATGTATATAAACCAAATTCAGTCATCTCAGTACTCCTCAGTACATCTATGATGATGTTATAAGGCTTTCTATTGCATTAGAGTGAGTTCACTTTTTTCACGAAAATTACTTGTTGCGGTCAATTCGATTACATGCGGGCTTGACTGGAATTTTAAACTCATACGTAAAAATTGTAACATTTAAAATTATTATTACAGAATTTTATGTTTTTTTACACTTTTTTACTTTTTTAGGTAAACAAATTATAGGTAAACAAATCTAATAAACTGTAATAAAAAGTAAAAAAGTGTAGAAAAACATATCACATGTCCGAAATCGTTAGTAATCTTACATTTTTGTACACTTTTTTACTTTTTATTACAGTTCACAACATTATTATGTACTTTATTTAAAAAAAAATTTCCGCTAAGGAACAAACATTTTTATTTTTTCTTTGATAATTCCTAAGGGTTTTTGTGTGTTCCTTTAGAATCAAATGATTTTCCAAATACGATTTTCTAACTTTTTCTGTTTTCAAAGGGCAAACAACTAGGGCTGTGCGAGTACTCGAAAAAACTCGACTCGTCGAGTTCGAGAGAAAAAAACTCAGAAAATTCCAACACGAGCATCGATGTTCCACATCTGGTGCATAATAAATGAGTGCTTACTCTTAAAATCAGAGTAGTTTCTTGAGCATAATTGCACCAGATGTGAAACATCGATGCTTGTGTTGGGATTTATGAGTTTTTTTTCTTGTTTCTTGATTTTTTTAGTTTCTAGTTTGGTTTTTTTGTTTTGACTATTGATTCGTGTTTTTGGTTTTTTTAAATTTTTTACTTATTTGACTTTTTTATTATCACTTATTTGATTGATCAATTTTCTTGCTTTTATTTCATTTAACATTGAATTTTTAATTCTTTAAGGTGATGCCGAAGCCCCGATTTTTACCGACCGAGCATTATAAGTATAAATTCAAATAACTTTTATACTAGGCCGATTTTCTAAAAACGGCTCTGTGAAGCCCTCCATATAGTTGCTGTGAACAAGTGCACCAAATTTCAGCCAATTTCATCGGGTAGTTTTCCCGGAAAACAGGATAAAAATTTTTTATCCTGCAAACAGTAGTCAAAAATTTCGGTCTAGCTCGATCTAGCCGAGGTGTACGGCATCTTAGGTGTGGGGGAGGTTGGAACTTGCATCAACAAGGTGAGTTCGTTCCAATTTTACTTAGCTAAATTTGCTAATTTATCCGAATACCGCTTGCTTCCGAAAATCGACGGTCGGTTATCCGTGGTATGCGGCGATAGGCGCCCAAGCCCGATAGCTCGACAGAAAGTAAATAGAACGGTCGAGGCAGTCGCGCGTTCGAACCTGCCGTTCTATTGTGAGCGCAGAATACGGAGTCAATTTCGGCGAATTCGAACACAAATGTGTACGTGAGAGGCGACGCTTGTGTTGTTTTGCGCACGGCCCACACGGCTTGGGCCTGCGTGTAAAAAGGTAAACAAGTCCGCGCGGACTTGCCTGCACGAAACATAAACAAAGAGAGTCTGCGAACAAACAACGAGAGTTATATCAAACGGAAGAAGACCCTTCATCATCCACATCGCCGTTAGGCATTTTTATGGATGATGACAACATGGACTTGACTTTCAATGAAATAGAAATTCCTTTGATTGCAACACCACGACCAATTTCTGTCCTAAGATCTACTACTACGTCCAATTCAATGGACTTCAATGCTCTTACTCAACAGCAAGCCAGCTCCGAAAAATGCGTTCATCATCGTTTTTTTCAAACTTTAATAAAAAAAGTCAGAATCATCGATCCCAAGGACACCCTTAATTTCCGTGGAGATATAACGAAGATTGTCCATCGGTATGCTTACCCAAAAAAAGAAAAGAAACACTTCAAAAATCTAGGCGGTCAAAGAATAGATCATTACGTAATAAAGCGGTCTACAGAAGCTAGTGACGTGCGTCTGCAGGCGAAAGCGAGTCGCGCGTAGTAAACGCGGACGCACCGTCATAAACTGGCCCGCGCATGCGCATGGACCGAATTAGGCCAAATCGTAATATTTTTTGGCGGAAATTGAAGGTTTTTTCAATTTTTATACTAGTTATTATACTAGGTATTTTGTAACAAGTCGAACAGTCAAAAGCTGATTCAATTGAGTCGAAAGGCACTTATACTAGTACTCTGAACTCGACCTTTTCTCTTGCAGGCACAACTTTTCAATGGCACCGCGCCACCTGGCGGCCGAGTCGGAAGTTGAAAAGTCAAAAAGGTGAGAAAGGTGTTGAAATAATGAGGCGAGTATTTTGTAATTTAACCAAGTTCACTATTGAGAAGTGGCTCTTGGTCGCAACTCTCGAGTGCTCGTCGACGCGAACGCGAGGACGAGAGTCGATGTGCTCTGGCTGCCGAGAGACGACTGACTTAGTCGGCCAAAGTGGCTCGCTTATGTACACAACGAACCACGCGCTGATTGGCTGATGCCGCGAGGTGGGGACGACTGCAGCAGTGCACGTCGTTTGAGTGGGGACGCACGCAGGGGTCTCGGCGTTAGTGAGGATAACAGAATTAGGCTAAATCGCAATATTTTTAGGCGGAAATTGAAGGTTTTCTCAATTTTTATATCAGTTAAAGTTAAATTTGAGCCTGGATAGCATTCGTTACAGATTTCTAGTGCAGTTGTTCGTATTCAGACTAAATTTAGTGCAGATCGAATGAAAATTGACAAAGTTATGACAAAAAAACACAATTTTCAAAGTCCAAAATATTCCATTTCCGGTTTATGAGGCCCGCGCATGCGCATGGACCGTATTAGGCCAAATCGTAATATTTTTTGGCGGAAATTGAAAATTTTCTAAATTTGTATACTTATGTTATGGCGAAAAAACTCAATTTGGAAAGTACATATATCATATTGCCGAAGCCCCTTTTTTGACCGACCTAGCATTATAAGTATAAATTTATATAACTTCTATTCTAGACCGATTTTTAAAAAATCGGTTTCCTGGAGCCCTTTGTATTGATGCTGTGAACAACTGTACCAAATTTCTTTCTATTTCATTCA